GGATTGTTGTTGGGGGCGATATGCTGACTCTGTAAACCGCTTAGAGAGGGCTGAAAGCCCTATGAAGCGGTATATAAGTCTAACTGCTATTGCTACTATTGCTATTACCTCAAAAGGTTGTTGGCAGAATGCAAAATGTATCTTGGTTTATCCATTTAAAATAGTTTACCTGTTTAAAACATGTATAATAATTATCCATTTAAAATGTACCTTTGATTTCTTTCTTTTAAAATTAAGGCATTTTTCATATTCTGATTCTTTCAGGGAAATCACCAGGAGAGGCTGCCGATGCTGCTCTAGATTGTATGAAAACCAGAGTTGGAGGCTTAGGTGGCATCATTGTTATTAGCAGTTCAGGGGAGTGGGCTGCTAAGTTCTCTACCAACCAGATGTCATGGGCTGTTGTGAAGGATGACAAGCTGCAGTCTGGCATTTATACTGGGGAGAGGAATACACAGTCCGTTGAAGAAGCTCTTGTTTCCATTGGATCTTAGAAACTAGGAACGACACCGAAGTTGTGTCACAGGAGGAAGTTCATGGAATTGAATCTGCACCCTGCTCAGAATGAGGCACGCACTTTTTCCAGGTGCAAGTACAAGTAGCCTATCAGAATTTTTCTTCTAGATTGTGTATGTTTAGTTCCTATTTGTAATCTGATTGATAAAATAATTTTGGCTCGGTACGTATTTTAATTTTCATTCTTCTGAATAAAAGGTTCTTCAGAAATTTATTGATGGAATTTCATCAGCTTCTTGATACCGGATACATCTGCATGGTGTCAAATGATAATGTGAAGAGATGCTTATCATTGAGAAAATGAATATAATTATAAGATTAGTAGAGGGGAACGATGTGTACTGAAATATCCGTATGTGATTATCTCATGTTTACATATAAATTAACATTGCACTATTAATTACTCTCTTTAACTAAACTTGAATAGTTGTTTTTAAGGCTTTCTGTATGAAATTACAGTAGTGTTTTATTTGAAACAATAAGAAATGAAAATGAAAAATATATTTTCTCACTATATATTTTTCAAAAATGTTTTGTGATTAAGAATTGTGTAGATGTTCATATTATTGGTCTAAATCTATTGTTCTGTAACTACGGTTTAAAAAAAACCAAGCAGCGTTGTAAAAATCCAAGTAACTTTATAATACATTTGTTCACAAGTGTTGTTTTAAATCTGGAATTAAATGTACCATGTTCTCAGGAACAAAACAATTTAGAGAAAATCATAGTCATAATTTATGATACATTGTGATGGAGGCGGGCAAGATTTTATTGTTTTGATGCTGAAGTTGGATGACTAACATCAGGGATATAAAGAAGTAAGGGAACTAAGAGGCTATTTTGCACACAGGTTCAATAAGCCGTATGTTTGGTTTTTCATGTTTTCCTAGACAAATTTAAAATATTACTTTTCTAGAATTATGAGAGATGTCTATCGCCTCCACTTTCCATTGAACCAAATCTTAACAGTTCTTGTTTTCCAACAATAATAATTTATTATTTTGATCAGCAGGTTTTGGATGCTATTATCCTAACTACATATTACTAAAGCATAACTATTCATATCTGCTTTTTGATCCCAGAATTTATATCATGCTAAGTTCTGATCCTGGATCCTTCTAGAGTAGGGGTGTCAAACCCGTGGTCCGTGAGCTGATGTGTCACACACTGGCCATGCCTGTCCTCATTTTAGCAATGATGTGTCGTCGTGAGTTTGACACCTTTGTTCTAGAGTCTTACGTAAGCTAATAAATCATTCCTAGTTTTCCATAATCAGTAATTTAGATTATTGCACTATTCTCACAATACTACTGACTCCCCCCCCAACACGGAAAGTTTGATAAACTTAGGAGTTAGTAGATGCTTTGTACTCCCCAACCCTCTTTGCAATAGATTATGGTGCCGATAGGAATTTAATGGCATTTGTCACGAAGATCACACACTATTCAGACTCTCTGGATTAACTTTTCAGCTGAATTTCAGAGCATTTGTGTTCAGATTTGACTTGTTTTGACTTGACCACAAATCCTTCTGTATTTCAAAAATACCATGTTTTCTTTCATTTTCTAAATATTATTGTGGTTCTAAAGCCTTGAATGTCTGATTGCTAATGCTTTACTAGTTCCAATCATGTACTAATGCATTGTAGCATATAGCTCATCAAATACTTGGCTGTGTCAGGCAAAATGAGCATAAAACCATAATCCACGTATAGCAACATAGGAAGCATCTCCTTAGCAACACTAAGCCTTACAAAAATATGCCATTTTATATAGATCTTATTTTATCTAATTTTACTGAAAAATAAAGTCCTATAAGCTAATAATTTCCATACTTGGTCCCAATTAGCTTTTGTAGTTCTGTATTTGTAATGATAAGACTTATTGCTTGAAATCTATTGCAAGTTTTATTACTGTTTTAATATTGTTCAAGTGTAGGAAAGGCAATGAAATGGTCATCTTAGAGCAGCGGTTCTCAACCTGTGGGTCGGGACCCCTTTGGGGGTCGAATGACCCTTTCACAGGGGTCACCTAAGACCATTAGAAAACACATATTTTTGAAGAAATACGGAAAACATAAAATAATTTTATGATTGAGGGTCACCACAACATGAGAAGAACTGTATTAAAGGGTCGCGGCATTAGGAAGCTTGAGACCCACTGTCTTAGAGGGTCATATTGATACTAAAACAATAGAAAATTTATTTTGTAACTCTACCAGAGCCAAATGTTCAAATGTGAAATTTATTTTTATTTTTACTTTTTTGACAATGAATTCCTTTGCTTGACATTTTAATGTATGAAACAGGATTTATGTTTATAAATATCTAAATGTATTAAATTTAATACATAAAAAGCTAAATAACAGTCAAATTAGGAAACTATCCAGTATAAGGAACCATCTCTTTCTGATCATGTCTCTTCATCCCATCAGATCCAATAGAAAGATGTAGATCCTGTCTAATAAGGAGTTTCACCTGGCAGGACCCAGAAGACAGACAAACATCAACTACAGAATTGATGTTATTAGCAATTGACCAATCAATAGCTTATCAATACAGATTAGCTATATATAGTTGTAACAAATTATGGCTTCCACTTGTTGAAATGTTTAATGTACAACTGTGAATGTTTAATGTCTGTCTGTGAATATATGCCTTGTATGATGATTTTAAGGAATTTCCCCTCCCCCCTTTGGGTATTTTTTTATATTTAGGTATTACAAGAATCAGACTATGTAGTAAATCTTATACCAAAATGAATTAATGAAAAAATAAACCTCAATTTGAGAGAAAGCCAAGTTGATTTTATTTCCTGCTTCCAGTTATTGGTGAAGATACTCTTTGAAAGTTTTAAACTGTGAGGATACTAAAAAATAACAGTTAAGAAAAACTACTACTTTAAGGAAAACCTAGATGTAGTAACTCATTTTCAGCATCATTAAGCAAGTTTTTAAAGTCCTATTTTAAATAAGTATAGACCATGTAGATACATTAAGCATGACAGCCTCTTAAAATAACTATTTTTTACCCAAATTTATCAAATTGTTTTTAAAAATGCATTGCACAGAATTTATGCTCTTTAGAATTCCAGAATCATATGACATACTTGATTAGAACAAAAATAAAATTAACACTGCTCCCCAGAAGAGAACTTTTCAATTCATCTTCAGCACTGAAAACTCAACACAAGATGGCTGTGCCAAGCCACCTTATATAAGACATTATACATATACCCTCAGTTATAAAAACATGCTGATTATAGCATTTGTCTTCAAAATAAACACTGGTAACTAGAACATTATTCTTTCAGCCCACATTTAATTTAAAAAGGGAAAACATGACTTCACTTTCAATAAAAAAATGCATACATGACTTTTGAATTTTGATGCCTATGCTATGAAATATCTTCTTAGTTTGAACCTGCCCTCTGTTAAGTTAGTTACATCTATGTCAGACGTTGTAACGTTCCCGTGGTTCGCCCATGAGGCCAATGTTGAGAAAAGACAGGACACACCCCTTCTCGGGATGGAGCGACCCAGAT